TGGAGCAAGAGGAATAAAAGCTCCAAAACACATTGTTGGATCAATAAAGAAATAAGGCCAAGAAGAGAGAGCTATTTGAAGTTGTTCAGAGAAAACAACAAAAGTTGATGGGCTGATGTGCATCGCCAGGCGATGGCTGGACGAGGGCCATCGCATCTGCGTCGTCGGGTGACAGTGGAGCGAGAGGGACCAATTTTTCAGTTGTTTCTGCCTTGCTTTGCGTCTGTGTCGTTGGGCGAGGAAGAGTAGTTGCATCGGGCGACGTGAGTCTGTCGTCGGGCGAAAGAAGATATTTGTGGCCAGTTGCCCACGTGGCGTAGTCTGGGTCAAGAGTTTAGGTAGTGTCGTCAGGCGACGTGTTTGTGTCGCCAGGCGATGGTTGCGAAACAACTTTTTCTTTATATTTCCTTTTCATTTTATTTTGTTGGGTGATGGTTTTTGGGGTGATTTTTATTCTCCCGATTCCATCAACCTCATTTTTATAGTGGATTAGTTTAGATAATAACTATGGAGCTTGCATACGGATGATCCAGGATAGATTGCTCTTCGATCGACGCTGACAAATCAGGAGATTTGTGGTTCATTTCTCTTTTTCTTTGTGTATTCTCTTTTAGTTGGATTTTGTATGTTTATTTACTTTGATCTTATGTATATTTGTCGCCCATATCGTTATATTTAATTTGCTTTACAAATCTTTGTGGGTTGTTATCCTTGATTTTTTCTCTATGCTATGGATTTAGATTGTTATAGACATATATTGCTTGAATTCTTATCTAGGATGATCATCTGTTAGTTTCTGTATTCTAGAGATAGATTTAGAGCTGACATTCACTTGGGTGTCTGTGATTAATACCTTTGTGTTGGTTGTGTTGACTAAGAGATCGTTAACGCGAGTAGCACAGTTGACTTTTATGTTGTTAAGGTTGGTTGAGAGATCGCCACTGAGGTGATATGGTGGGTATAATGTTTGACACGTGATGACATTGATGAGTATCGTAGATTGAGTATAATTGGTCGATAGGTTTAAGTTTGTGAGAAGTTGTATATATGCAGGCTTAATAAGTCTTATCCTCTTTGAAGAATGAATTTATTTTCTTTTGATAACTTTTACCTTTCCTTACTTCAACTCATTTTACCCTAAAACTCATTAACGAATGATTTGTCGAACGACGACTCGATAATCAATCTTTATGGAAACGATACGTTATAGCCTAAATATCACCCGGTAAAATTAATACTTTACTTTTTGCTTGCCGCTTTACTGCATCAGCAAAATGGTGCTGTTGCGGGGGATTGGTTTATTGTTTTGCATCGCGATAATTTTTTTGTTTTTGAGTTTTGTAATTAATGTATATGTTGTATAGAAATTGTGCATGACCTTGTACATGTTTACTATACTTGTGAATTTGTTATATCATTGTTTGTTTCTTTTCGCGTTTACTTGTGTGTTGGTTAGGAATAACCAGGTGGAAGCAACTTGGAGAAACGTTCTTAAATAACAGGCGTCGAGCTTACGACGTAAAACAAACATGTTTTATTTATTTTTTCATTTTGTTAGTTTAGGTAGTTGAATGCAATTGTTTAAACAAATTTAACTCAGACTAGTTCTCAAATTTCATATCTTCACTTTTAAATTTGTTTAGACAATTCCATTCGGTCTTTTAGTATGTGTATATTATTTGTTTTTATTTTTGTGTTAGTCTTTGAGCTTGTTGTGAATAGCTTGAGAATATTGAGGTGATTTATAAAGTTTGATCGTGTCAACTTGCGAATGCGTGGTAATGATTTTATTAAGATTTTGTACAGGTTCGAGGTATTTGTTTATCGCTTTCTATACTTTAGCATATTCATGATACTTAGACTTTTTACAATTTTTATGTCATTAATTCTTTTGTATACTTATTCATTTGTGAATCACTTTAGCTCCTACCTTTTTTGTGAGGTAGTTTTCCATTGTTCACATATGTTGGAGGCCACATTCTTGTTTTAACTGGATTTTATTATACTTAATCTTTTGCTTGTGTTGATTGTATGAAAGCATGAAAGTGATCAAGACGTTTTGTTTCCTTTTGAGCACAACTGTCTAGCTAAATAGTTAATTCACCTTGTGAGTGTGTGATCATTAGTATGCATTTTTGAGCCTTTTTGTCAATGTCCATGTTGTTTTTGCTAAATAATTGTCTATGGGTATTTGGTTATCATTTTTGTATGGACATCGATTCTTTGTTTTCTTGAACCCTTAACTATGATTTATAGTTTGAATTTTTGTCTTGCCTAGAAAGTAGGAAGTATTCATACTATGATAATGGTTGAATTCAAGTTGGAGGAGATGTATGTTTATGTGCTTATGTTGTAATTGCTATGAGGTTGTAAAAGAAAAGAAAAAGAAAAAAATGAAAAAACTTTGAAAAATAAAAATAAAAAGAGTTCGAATAATTGTGGGAATAAGTATTGTGATTGGTTTGAAAAATTTGGAATGAAGAAGAAGTTTGATTGAAATTTTGTTGCTTGAGTCTTTGTGAGTCGATCACTCAGTTAGGTTTCGAAATTTTTTTGTTTCAATTAGCTTTAGAACTCATCCCTTATTTGTTAACCAAGTCACATTACAACCTTGAAAAGCCCTTGTGATTCTTGCCTTCGTATTTTCAACATGAATTTTTAGATAAGTGTATAATTTAATTTATTGTTTACAAGATTGTGGATGAGTGAAAATACATCATTTTTGTGTATTTGTCATCTATCGATGATTGATTTTGCTAGGTGTGATTCATTTGTGAACTAGTGTTGTTTTAGAATGTTTGGTATAATTTTTGTATTTAACATTTGTTTAGTGTTTATGTTATAGTTGTAGCTTAGTGGTAAGTGTTTATTTTGTGTGTATTGTTTTTCATTTGAACCATTGCATTTATTTTTCGTTTTCAAAACTTGTCGAATCATGATTCTTTGGTTGATTATTTTCGTTTATTCGAGTTGTTTGTTTCTTGTTTGAGGACAAACAAGTTCAAGTTGGAGAGAGTTTGATAAGTGCAAATTGTAATTATTTTTGTATATACTTTTTGTTTCACTTATCGACTCTTTGTTGTTAATATCGGTTGAATAAACCCAACTTTTATGTAAATATGTTTAGTTTATACATAATGTGTTTTCGTGTATAAAGTGTATCATTTGATAGTTTTGTGTTCATTTTGTAGATATTTGAGCATTGTTGAAGCAAGAGGAATAAAAGCTCCAAGACGCATTATTATATCAATAAAGGAATAAGGCCAAGAAGAGAAAGCCATTTGAAGTTGTGCAGAGAAAGCAACAAAAGTTGCTGGGATGATGTGCATCGCCAGGCGAGGCCCATCGTGTCTGCGTCGTTGAGCGACGGTGGAGCGAGAGAGACCAATTTTCTAGTTGTTTCTGCCTTGCTTCGCGTCTGTGCCGCTGGGCGAGGAAGAGTAGCTGGGTCGGGTGACGTGAGTCTGTCGCCAGGCAAAAAAAGATATTTGCGGCCCAGTTGCCCATGTAACTTAGTCTAGGCTAAGAGTTTAGGTAGCGTCGCCAAGCGACGTGTTTGTGTCGCCGTGCATGGTCACAAAATAACTTTTTTCTTATATTTCCTTTTCATTTCATTTTGTTAGGTGATGGTTTTGGGGGTGGTTTTTATTCTCCCAATTTCATCAACCTCATTTTTGTAGTGGATTAACTTAGATAACAACTATGGAGCTTGCATACGGATGATCCAAGATGGATTTCTCTTTGATCGACGTTGATAAACCGATAGATTTATGGTTCATTTCTCATTTTCTTTGTGTATTTTCTTTTAGTTGAGTTTTGTATGTTTATTTACTTTGATCTTATGTATAATTGTCGCCCATGACGTTATATTTAATTTGCTTTACAAATCTTTGTGAGTTGTTATACTTGATTTTTACTCTGCTCGGGATTTGGATTGTTATAGACATAAATTGCTTGAATTCTTATCTAGGATGATCATCTGTTAGTTTTTGGATTCTAGAAATAGATTTAGAGCGGATATTCACTTGGTTGTCTGTGATTAATGCCTCTGTGTTGATTGTGTTGGCTGAGAGATCGTTAACGTGAGTAACACATTTGACATCTGTGTTGTTAAGGTTGGTCGAAAGATTGTCACTGAGGTGATATGGTGGGTATAGTGTTTGACACATAATGACATTGATGAGTATCGTAGGTTGAGTATAACTGGTCGATATGTTTAAGTCTGTGAGAAGTAGTATATATGCAGGCTTGATAAGTCTTTTTCCCTTTGAAGAATGAATTTATTTTCTGTTGATAACTTTTAACTTTCCTTACTTCAACTCATTTTACCCCCAAACTCACTAACGAATGATTTGTCGAACGACGACTCGATAATCAATCTTTGTAGACACGATACGATATAACCTAAATATCACATGATAAATTTAATACTTTACTTTTTGTTTGTCGCCTTACCACATCAGCAACAGAGTCAGAGAAAAACTTTGGAGAAGTACACAAAAGGTTCTATGTAGAGAGAGTGAGAGAGAAAAGACGAAGAAGTGAAGTGAAAACTGAGGAGTAAAAAGAAACTTGTAAATGATGTTTACACGTGTAGCTTCAGAATTTGTTTTGATGTTGTATAAATTGTATTGAAGAGACAAAATTAACATTTTTGATGTGTAAATTGTTTGAAAGGGAAGGACATATTTAATAGAATGATGTAGTTATATTTTAGTGGTAAGATAGTTGATAATTGATAGTTAATTTTTTTAAGTTGATAGTTAATTGAAAACTCAATTTGTAAAAAAGAAATTATTAAAAGTTTGTTAGAGTGCTTTTTGTGACAAATAAATAACACGAAAACATCTTTATTAACTGCGTCGCCGGAAAACTGGAGAGAGAAAGAAGAGACACCGATGGATACGCAACACAACACAACACAGACATTCGATGAGACCACAGTAGAAGCTATAGAAAGAAAGCAACCATAGACTAAAACAAACAAAAACATCCTCAAAATGCAAAACCCAGGAACAACACAACCTCAATGGTATTCTTCTTCTTCACTCTCGTTTCTCTCATCAGCATTATTCAGAGACCCTAAACCAAAACCAATCCTCTACACTTTCCTAATCATCTCTCTCTTCTCCATCCTCCTCGTCCTCTCTCTTTCCTCTTCCTCCCCTTCCCAAACCCACACCCGACCCGACCCATTTCTCTACCCCACTCACCAAACCCACCGCATCATCTACGACCAAGATAAAACCGCCCCTCCACCTCCTTCCATAGCATATCTCATCTCCGGGTCAAAGGGTGATTCGGGTCGGATCTTAAGGTTACTATTTGCTTCCTATCACCCACTCAATCACTACCTTCTTCATCTCGACCCTTCTGCCCCTCATTCAGATCGTGAGAATTTGGCTCTTGTTGTTCAGTCTAATCCCATTTTCAAAGCTGCACAGAATGTTCATGTTATGGGAAAACCTGATTTTGCTTACGCCAAAGGCTCTTCTCCTGTTTCCTTTACTCTTCATGCTGCTTCCATTTTGATTCGCTTGTCCATTAATTGGGATTGGTTTGTTAGCCTCACTGCTGATTCTTATCCTCTTGTTACTCAAGATGGTACGGTATGGTTTTTTTTTTTGTTTTGTTTTGTTTTGTTTATTTACTTTTGCAGAATTATGTTTTCTTGATTTGATGTCTGAAATCTTTTCTGGGTTTGTCAGATCTTCTCCACATCCTGTCTTTTCTGCCTAAAGATATGAACTTTGTGAATCATTCAAGCTATATTGGCTGGAAAGAGTAAGCTAATTTTGACCACTTACATCTTTTTGCCATGTCTATGTTTGTGCTTCATAGTTAGCTAATCTAAAGTGAGTAATATCAATCATTGCGTTAGTGCTTAATGTAACATGTAAATGCATAACTATTTATGGGTATGGTGGGAATCTGAATTGTTAAGTGTTTATTGACTATGGTGATGACACAATTTGTATTTTGTTTTGATTCTCTAGGTTGAGGAAGTTGAAACCCATTATTGTTGATCCTGGTTTGTATCTTTCTGAAGGGACTGAAATGTTTTATGCTACTCAGAAAAGGGAACTCCCTAGTGCTTACCACTTGTTTACAGGTGTGGTTTTCTCTCCTAGTAATGTATTTGGAAAGCTTTTTGTTTCTCACTAGTATTTGATTATATATGGAGTGTTCCAACTGATTAGAGAGTAACATTGCAAAACACCTATTATATAAACTCTGTTTTCGTGCATGATTCTAAAGCTTCTACTTGATTTGCAAAGCACATATATTACATAAACTCTGTTTTCGTGCATGATTCTAAAGCTTCTACTTGATATTAGCAAGCAAGCAGCCTGTGCGGGAAAATGTTAGGAATCCGGGTTTGAGCACCGGAAAATATATTGATTGTTCGTTCATATTTTCCTTTATTTCCCAGTATGTCATGGATTAGTTAGAAATAAATATTTTTTTGTTAATTAATGTACTAAAATGATACCCATATTTATAATAAAATAAATAATACCAGAATAGTAATGTCGAAGATTAAACATTCTTTAACTTGTTGCTGTGTAAGGCTCACAGTTGTTAAAAAATTGTAATTAGCCTCTTTAGGTGAATGGTTGAGGTATTGACTAAGTATGCTGCTGAAAGTGATTAACTTGCCTCTTGTTTTCCCCTTTTAGAAATATTAGAAGTTCCTTGCTGTTATCAAACTTGTTTGTTGATCAAGGGGAAATCTATGCCGAGTCTTGAAATGTTCACGACAATGCTAACAATCAGATTTTTGTGGCTTAAGTTTCATCTTATTCTTTAGGAGGTAGAGGAAAAAGAAGAGACTACTTGTAGAAGCATAATAGGTGGAAAACAAAACAGGACTATGTATGGGCAACAAACTAGAAATTATATGGTGTTTGTTGGTGCTACTACTATGAGATAGAGTGCTTTAGCTTATATGTGCAAGCCTTAACATAGTTGACTAAATGGCAGTTTCATTGTAGCTATTTGGCCACATACTGGTGTTCTTGGGAAGTTATTAGGCTATTTGAGGCATTCAGCCCCAAACAGGAATCTTGATAATTGAATAGATTTTGAACTGGAAGGGAATTGATGGGATAGTTATATAATAATAAAGGATTTCCCGGGTCCTTTAGTATTTTCAACTGTGCTTGAATGGTTAATTGCGGCCATGTCTGTTAGAAACCTGGAATTAGAAGAAAACAGAAACTGTGTTATTGATAGAAGAAGGCAAGAAATGTTACAGAAGAGACCCCTGTTATTTATTGATAGCAACCATATCCAAATTGCTTGAGTTCCAAACATCATTATCTATATTCCAATTAAAGATCTTCCGTGCTGATAGATTTGGCCTTGTCCCAGTAGTTTAAAAAGTGATCTCCGCATGTACTCTTGCACTGACCCTGTAGTAGCGCCCCACTTGTGGTTTCAAACATCTACGCGGGTTTCCCAAATCTTTCCTCTATGATATACAAAATAAAGCAACCTGTAGATTAAGGGATAACTTTTCCAGCAGCCAGCAGGCCAATAAGAAGCTTTAGTTTCATCCTCAAAACGTTACAGTAGACGAGTTAGCCTTCATGATAGAAATTGAGAAAGCTTACATGTCAAGAGAAGTCATGTATGGCCCTTACATACTCCATCAATGATTAATCCATGTTTCTCCCGCAATTTAGTTTGCTTACCTCTGCTTCAGAACATGAGAAACCATCACATCTACATGTTGTCCTTTAGCCATAGTTCCAACTAGATCCTTGCGAATTTTAAGGCTTAGTTCCATTTTCTTGTTCCCCAAACAATCTGCCAAGACATATCTTGCTTCTGCTAACTGCAGCAATATCAACGGTAGAAAGATTCATGGTAGGTGAAGATCTGTCCTCCTTGGACTGTAAATGACACGATGAAGAAGATTCCTTCTGAGCCTTAGCACTCTTGTGTGTCTCTTAACATCCATGCGAATTAGCAAGCCCTTCCCGGGAAAGACAGTACCACACAAATTGTAGAGGTGAGCAGTGAAGACTGTCTTTGTTGCTCACCATAGGAAGGCACACACCAGTTGCTTGAGTTTCCATACAATTCACCCTCCATTTATCATGAGAATCGGTGCCGAGATAAAAATATGCATGGTTGCTAGTACGACGGAATCACGAGTAGGACAGTGCACACACTAGAAGGGTTTGCAGAACAAACAATGTGAGTGGATGGGTTCACAATGCGGTCGATTGACGGTCTGGAGGATCAAGCGTGTCTGGCGGTTCCGGTGGTCGTACAGGAGCTCAGAATTTGAATTAGTTGAATTTACCTGACCTCGCATACAGCCGTACCGGAGAGGCTAGCATTGTTATAGGCGGCAAAACTTGCAGAAGGGATGGACATTCCAAAAGAACTTGTGTAGCTTCAGATATGCATGTGGTAGACTGTTGCCACAGAGGGCACCTCATTGGCACAGTCAAGTCAGGTTTGCCTAAAAGAGTTTTTAGCCTTTGAATCAGGCTAAAAGTAACACTTCCCTTTTGAACCCAATAAGCTACAATCCGTTTGGGCCTGATCCATTTAAACTTGAACTCTAGTTACAAAATACCAGTTTTAGGGTTAGAATGTGACCCAACTCACAAATCATCCATTTAACCTGCAAATGAATGAGCGCTCCATGGTATTTGGTGCCAGTTGAAGCACGACCGCACCTCCCACGACATGGTTCTCTCTTGCGGTCATATGTGAATTGCGGTCTGCCGCCAAAACACATGTACCAATGTCTGGCAGCTCAGGCTTGGACAGAATTTTTGCCGTTGGAGTAGAGACCAATGGCAAAGATGACGGTAGGTGGCGCAAGAACCAGGGCTCAGGCAGTAGCGGCTGGTTGCGCCATCTATGCTTGACCTGCCTGTCTTTTTTCACGTTGAGTTCTCTCACCTTCTGTGGCATCTTTGTTGCTCGGCTTGGGGCCTTCATCACACGATTCACTTGTTCTGGCTCTTGTTGTGCCATGACGAACAGATCAGTCCCCTTGACCCTCTCTTTTATTGCGAGATCTGTTGAGTTGTTCCTACATCATTTTGAACTGTTCCATTTGCCAAGAAATGGTCTCGTTAATTCGTTCCTCAAAAGCAAGACCACTTAGGTTTCTTGTTTCACTCCTTGCTTCTTCATCTCTGTCATTAGAGATTGCAGAAACTTCGCCACTAACAATTTGATGGATTCCTCCAATTCTTACTATTAATGCGCCAATTCTCTCATCCCTTTCTGCTTCCAACACTTCTTCTTCCTCAGTTATCTTGAATGACACAAATATGATACGAATGCCAGGTCCTCAACAATAATCCAACAGGTCAAATCAACGTTAGGACCCCGAAATTAGTAGGAAACAAAAACTGTATGTTAGATCTGTGATTTTATGATTGGCAACAATTTTGATAAAACATGTTTCATGTTGAAAACATGTATCACATCCTGATGTTGAACAAGATGTCATGACATCTTGATCAACTGGTACAGCAGAGTCTGCTGTTACTATTTTTGACAGATGTTCTGACAGATGTTCTGACATGTTATACCAGAACATCATAACAATACAGCTGTTTAAATCCTTGAAGATTTGATTTTAAAATATGAGATTCTGGATGATTTTAGTTCTCTACAAGCGCAACCAAGCAAGGATATTTTAGGAACAATGCATATTTGATTTGGTTTCATAAAAGGGATCTTGGAGACTTTTTAGGAAACTTTGAAGATTTCTTCCTATTTTGTGGAGAAGATCCTGCAGTTGTAAATTTACAACTGAAAGATTGAATTTGATTGAAGAATTCACACCCATACTGCAAGAGTCTATAATAGGAACTTACCAAACCTAGAAACTTAAGCATTATCATTTAAAATAACCATGTGTGGTTGAAATAAGGATTTAGGGTTTTAAGAGTACTTTAGGTGTTTCGTTTGTTTTTGTATGTCACTCATGTATCTTCTAATACATTGAGGTAGACTGATTGTTCATTGTTATTTGCCCATCACTCATGAGCTTTTAAGTAAAGAGTTGATTGTGTGTCAAGTTATTGTTCTCACTCATGAGCTTTTAAGCAAAGAGTTGAGTATTGTTTATTGGAAGTGTAATCTTCTGTTTTGGTTCTTGTCACTGGTTTGTGACTCGTTTTATCATTAAGGTGATTGTGGGAAGTGAGAGAGGGTTTTCATATCTAGAAAGTTCCTAGGTAGAAATTGCATAGGGTAGTGATTAGGTGATAAGTTGTAAACTGTAATTGTTTAGACTTTGAAGTAATACAATTATAGTAGATTTCCTTCCTGGCTTGGTATCCCCCAGAGTAGGTGATGTTGCATTGAACTGGGTTCTGCAATTTAATTCTGCATAATTTCTATTTTGATAAAATTGTTCTGTCAGCAAATAATATCTTAACATCTGTCTTGACGTTGTATTTTGGTGTTGAGACATTAGTCTTGACATCTGTTTTAAAATGCCAAAATTTCACTGTTATTTAGAAGGCAAGAAATATTACTGAAGAGACCCCTGTAATCCCACAACAAAGCTCCTCATAGAAAAGGTTCTCTCTGCCCAACCCCATGGTTTCTAATTGAAAAGATACTTAGTGTCCTCTCTCTTGTGACCCCCCTCTTTATATAACAGTCCCTCCCCCTAACAAACTAGCCTCATCATCAAAATGCAACCATATTGGGCTTAGGCCAAAACATGGTACATAACAATGTCTTTCCCTCCAGTACAGTGACCAATTCCCTGAGATTTCTCGTTGGCTAGGCAGTGTATAAAATCAGCGATAGTTATCATAAATATTCTGGTTTTTGTGGCAAATGAACAACAGCTTTTTTGCACTATCTATAAACAAGAAAGTGGTTAATTGTTAAATGATAAAAAAAATTCACTTTTCACTTGCAATAATAGTTTGAAATGGTTTTTAAACACCTGACACAAGTAGTGTACAGCTTGCAAGTTTGGTATCACACTTTGAAATCCAAGTCATATACTACTAGTGCTACTACAACCAAACAAAGGGTTGTTATTATTCCCATCAAGTGGAGTTGGTTACCTTGATTATACTATATCTTATATTCTTAGAGCCCCACATGCCCTTAACTCTTATAAATTGTCTCCCCCTTTATTGATTTTATTTTGATTCTACTATCTTTGAAGGGGTATTTATTGTAATATATATTCACATCACAATCAGGCATGTGCTACTCGACTTTTAAAGAAAACTTCTGAAAAATTGAAATGCAGAATCTAGTTTTAACTCGCAAAAGAAGCTCTTATTGAAAAAAATTATTTAGTTATTGCAAGATTCTCTTACTCTCTTTTTTCTAAAGATGGTCGTTGAGAAGTTATTTTAGCTGACTTATTCTTTTCTTGTACAGGTTCATCCTTTTCTATTTTAAGTCGTAATTTTATGGAGTTTTGCATTTGGGGTGTAGACAACCTCCCAAGGATCCTACTGATGTATTTCTCAAACACGCCATCATCCCTGTCCAACTATTTCCCTACTGTTCTCTGCAATTCTCGTCAGTTCAACAAAACAGTCATAAATCAAGATTTATTATATGCTATTTATGACGGTCATAGAAATGATCTTCGAGCATTGAACTCAACGGATTTCGATGACATGATTCGTAGTGGAGCCGCCTTCGCTAGAAAATTCCAGCCAGATGATCCCATGCTTGACCTCATCGACCAAAAAGTATTGGACCGAAGTCCTGGATTGGTTGCTCCTGGTGGTTGGTGTTTAGGTGAGCCCGGTAACAACACATGTTTAACTTGGGGTGATGCCAGTATCTTGAGACCTGGTGTAGGTTCTCAACGGCTTGAGAAAGCAATCGTTGAACTATTGTCGAATGGCACTTTCCGATCTCGTCAGTGTATATAGGAATGATCTTTCTCTAGCATGTCACACAATGTAACAGAATAGGAAAAGAAACTTAAAAGGATTGGTAAGAAATATAAGAATCAATTGCTTTGTATTTGGTGTATTTAGCAGAAATCTAGCAAGTTAGTTATCATTGTTAAATGTGTTAGCACAATTAAAATTTTGCTAATTCTGATTGTTGTGGAATTGTGGATGCCCATATGTTTGCTCTAAAAAGTTGTAAAACAAGTTTTATCTTAATGTGCTTAAAGAGTTTAAATAAACGTGTATTTTGTTTTTGTTTATTTAACAGAAATATTACAATCCCTTATCCTGTAATTGAAATAATGGAATGCCACATTTCAGGTTTTAATATGAATCCCTTTTCGATTTTTTTTTAGCAATAATCATGTTTTGGAAAATAAATAAATATAGATAACCATGTTTCGAAGAAAATTAAACAAATAACCATGTTTTTGGTACCAGACTTGTTCCTATGGCACCATATAAGATTTTAGTTTAAAGTTGGGAGAATTGAGGAAGTTATTAGAAGATGTGCGGAGAAATAGATTTATAAAATCGAGTGTATCATTTGGGAACTTTGATGTCATTAGTTAAGGAGAAAGAAAGTAGTACGAAATTGTATGTGGGTTACCGATAACTGATTTAAGTAGTGGTTGAGGTTACACATTCACTTCAAATGATTGACGATTTGATGGATTAACTGGTATGCGAATATGTCTTCGGTATACTCAAATTGAAGTTGAGTTACTTTCAGATTCGAGTGAGGGATGAGGATAATTGGAGGATATCTTTTAGAATTCAGTGAAGTTATTTTGAATGATTGGACCAGTTTGTTGCGGTGTTTATTGAGGGCATTTTGATTTAGTTTGAGTCATAAAAAGGAAACGTTGAATGTTGTGATTCGAATTACTCGAATTGAAGTTGAGTTACTTTCAGATTCGAGTGAGAGATGAGGATAATTGGAGGATATCTTTTAGAATTCAGTGAAGTTATTTTGAATGATTGGATCAGTTCGTTGCGGTGTTTATTGAGGGCATTTTGATTTAGTTTGAGTCATAAAAAGGAAACGTTGAATGTTGCGATTTGAATTACGGTGTCGGAAGGGAAGAAAATATATTCTAGGATGTCGAGATGTAGATCATGATTTGAAGAGGTGAATTTTCTTGAACATGCTATTTCGAATGAAGATATATGTGGAATCTATTCAAAGTAAATAGAGGTCTATATTGAGAGGCTCTGGAATTGGTTACAAAGACTAGAAGCTTTTCAGGATTAACTGGTTATTATCGCAGTTTGCTTGAGACGAGGTCAAGTGAGATCTGTTGTTAGTGAATGAGCTAAGGGAATGAGACGTTGCCATTAGTAAGGATGTGAATGTATTAGATACGTACATAGAGACACAACTTATGTCGATTAAGGATGATTAGAATGACGATAGTTTTTTAGGAGAAGAGAAGTAATGCTAGAGGAAAGATAAATTCAAGAAGGATTGTGTTGTACCCCAAAATTTGCCCTCCCATTTCTCATTAATTTCTCACCATAAAGCCTTTGAAGCTCAAGATCCAGTTAGGGTTTCATCTGCTCAAGACCTCTCCTTGCACTGTTGACTCAAATTAGGGTTTGTGTTTGCACAAAGATGCTTTGACCTAAAATGCCCAGGGTGACTTTCATGCTTCATATTGGACTCTCAAGTTTACCCATATCAAGTTTCAAGTCTTGATTCCAAGTTTTGCCCAGTCAATTGGACAATTGACCTAAAAATCTGTTGTATTGGGGAAAAGTCAACTGTGGCCAATTGACAGTCAAACCTCATGAAATTTGACCCACATCAACATTATGAACTCATATGAACCATTTGATCAAGTTTGGATCACAACTCCCCAAGAAATTTGATCAGATCACCAAAAGGGCAAAATGGTCATTTTTAGGGTTTTGACTGCACAAAGGCAATTTTTGACTGTTTGACCTAGACAATGGCAAACCAAGCTCACACATGGACTCAAGGACCCCATGGAATTATCTTGACATGCTCAACAAACTCAAAAGATCCCAAGTACACAAGATTGACAGTTGAATTTCCCAATCAATTGATCAATTTTGACTGTATACTGAAAAGTCAAACTTTGACTTTTTGGTCAAAATCAAGAGTCAAGATTCATTTTTCATCAAAACTTGCTAAATCATGAAACTTGTTCACCAAGAAACCAAGAAATGCAAATTAGGGTTTAAAATGGAATTTTTCATAACTTAGAATTTTTCTAAGTTATGGAAAACCCTAATTTTTCCCCAAATTTGCCCCACTTTTTCACCATGATTCATTTGGACTCAAACAAAAGTCCAAACATGAAAGTTGTAGCTTGTTGCATAATCTACAACTTTGATTCACAAAGTTTTCTCATTTGAAGCTTGTATCTCAAGTTACAAATTTTTGAATAAGGGCACTAAACCATTCTTAACTTAGTGAATTTTTGACCTATTTTGACAAGTTTTTCTACCCCACTTCAAGGCCATTTTCCATACATTTCCACTTGGAATTTCAAATTGCATTTCAAATATGGATTGTAGTACACATTCCAAGCTTTCCAAAATGTCCAAGAACTTCTCAAACAACCTCATGGTTAGGGAGAATCGAATTTCACAATATAGCAAAAACTCACTTTTGAATTGGCCATTTTTCATATTCATAAGTTATGCAAACTTCTCAAAACCAGCATGCCCTTGATTACAGGTCCTTAAACCAAGTTACACTCAATAATTTAATGCTTGTTCATTGTGTCAAAGTGTTATTCTATGAGTTCAAGTATTGTATACAAGTTTGATCCATTTTTAGATAAAGTAAACTATCCATTTTTGCAAAAGTTCACTTTATGTCCAATTGGTAAATCAAGCAAGTACAAACCAAATCTCTTTGACACAAGATTATGAACAAATTACTCTGATCAAGAGAAGCTTTGCAGCAGGATTAGAGGTCCCCTACTGACCTAAAACACCAACTTGCATTTTGTTGCTTAAAGGTTAAGAAACATGGCATAACTAACACCAACATCCATCTCAACTTAGGGACACAAGAACAAAGTTATCAAACACATTACACACATCGTAACCAAGCTATTGCACGAGCCATTTGCCTCCAAAACATCATCAAACCAAAAAACACCATCAAACTGCAAAAACAGAGTTGCCTCTGCAGTTTGAGTGTCAACTTCTATTCCTCTCAAGCTCTCTTGCCTAAACCAGTTCACACACATTCCCTAGCACCTATGCAAGCTAACCATGCCTTGAAACACGACCTGTAACTCCTCTAACAAGTTCCACCATTTTCACTTTTCCATTTTGCAGTTGAAGTTCTACAGCTCAGTTCAAGGTGTCTCAAGGCAAAGTAGATATTGGAACAGCATCACCACACCTCAAGGAAGCTATACCAATCAGTATCTTGCACTGTAAGCTCCCCATTTGCCAGTTAGAACTTCAGCTGAACAGGTATCTTGGTGAACTCGTATCTCTCTTATTATGCATCATTAACCTTAAGTTTGTGAATAAACAATGTCCTATTCATGCCACTGAACATGTACATTCTTTTACTTTTCATTTCTTTTGCCTAAGTTGAGAGAATTTAAGGTTTAAAAATGGCAGAAAACTTAGGTTAGGATTTAGGATTGTTAAAATTCTCTCTCATTTTTGAGAGTTAGGAGATGTTCTTTATATGTTTGAAATCGTGATTCCATGCTTGACATGTTTTGTGTTGAAAGTTTGTGCAAAAGCTCAAAGAATCAGGATGTTTGAATCCCTGTTACAAGCGCGCGTTTTTGAGACATTTTTGGCTGAAGGTTGAAGAAGATGCTATGTGGGATGGGCCTGTGTTATTTTCTTGTTCACACCATATTTTTGATATTGCATCCCCTGAGCCTATTTTGTCCATTTGCTTGATTTTTTGACTTTTCTTTTTTATTTCTGACTTATTTATTTTTGTAAATAATATTAAAAACAAAAAAATATTTTTCCTCACCATTTTTTAATTTATTAGGTATTTATTTGATTTTCTTCTAATTTATACATAAATAAAGGAATGTATATATTTTGTTAAAAATATTAAGAAATATGTAAAAACACATTTATTTTCATTTTTATTCTATTTTTGCCTTCTGAAAATATTTATATAAAAAAATACTATTTTCTTAAATATTAAATATTATTATTATTTATATATATATATATAATACATATTTAAAATAATACATATATACATATGTTCATTAATATATTTAGGATAAATACAAAATATATACCCCTTTTATTTTCTTATTAATATTTAATATAAAAAACACATTTTGGACAAATACCTCATTTTATTTTATTTTTATATATATAGATAAATATTTGTTCCTAATAAATAAATGGTATATTTTATTTAATAGAATTAGGGTTTTACCCTAAATATGAGAATATTCCAAAAATAATTCTTTTCTCATTTTTTCATTCACTTGACATAAATAATATTCTTTTTTTATATATACACATGAAAATTCTTTTTTACCTTTTTGCATATTTATTTCAATTTCCATTTATTTATGCAATTGTTCATATTGTAAATACTCAAAGCAAATGATGTAATAGCTTAGATTCAATTTCTTGTCAAAATATATCCCCATTTGAACATTGTACCCCCCTCCCTATATTATTGTGATGTAATAGCGTAGGAATTTAAATTTCGCACTTTATCGTCTTCTAAACATACTATGCTAGAATTAGGGTTTGTATGCGAATAAAACGAACAAAAATAGTTGGACCTAATCTTAAGATAAATAAGCATGAAAATGGACAACACATTTCACACTTGCACCCCTAGGGTATTCCACTTTGTTGCCTTCAAATAATTGGGCCATATTGCATGTTGAACTTCTTTGGGTAAAACAAACAATCAAATGATCATAGTCCCTCAAAATGTTGCTTAAATGAATGATCAAGTCCCTTTTAAAAGAAAATTGCCCAAAGACATT